TGTCCAAGTATAGTAAGCACCCAAAGTGGGGGCAATTTTATGTTTCCATAAGTTCAACAAATTAGTGGTACCACTTCATGTATATAAAAGTACGTTACAAATTAGACATATATTCTCATCAATTACATCAAATAACACTTTAGTCGTACTACAACAACTAGTATTCATCCTGTGCACATGCACAAAGAAAAATAAAAATTTATATATTATATTTATGTATACAATATATACAAATTTTATATTAAATAATTGATGTATTACATTTTAAATTTGGACTACATGCAAATGTGTAATGTAAATATAATTTATTTAACTTACGTATGAATCTTTATATTGATGCCATAAATTTTAATGGCTAATATAATTTAGTAATTTAGAGAGCCCATACAATTAATTAGTTAGAAAAGTATTACAATTATTTTTTATCATTGTTATAGCATTTGTTTATGTGATTTTAAGGTGTTTAATTATGACATTCATGTCAATTAACTTATTAGATAAAAATCGCTTAAAAAGAACAAAAATATTTTATTTTAGAAAAAGTATTTTAAAGAAATAAAATTGCAATACAATTTTTTATAAGTATGTAACTTCCACATACTATTTAATGTAAAGTTGTAATCAATTAGTGTTAGTAATGAATAAATTATATTAAAATTATTATTACACCTTATTAATGTAAAATGTAACGGTTCTACATTAATTGAGAAAATGAGCGGGAAAATGAATAGAAGTTTTATTAAATGTTTTATTAAATTCTATATGCCAGCAATTATATATATATATAAATTTTGATTAAAGGTAAAGAAGAAATTTTTAAAAGCTTGTGTCCTAAATTATTCGAACACAGACTCGAACGTTAACTAACAATTAAACGAACAAGCTCAGACACGATTTTTTGCGCGAAAAATAAACGAACAAACACGAGCTGAAAATGTCCAAGCTCAGCTCGTTCGGTTCGATTACAACACTAATCGCGACCATCTTCATTGTACAAAGAAGTATAATTTATCTTCAATGAGATGTACAAAGATCGAATTATGTATCAGTTGCTAGTTCTTAGAGTTCAAGGGTTCAAAAATCTCTTTAGGAAACGCATTTTGCAGTACTACAATTAATCGCTTAAAATGATTTGATGTGCTTTCATTTAAACTCAGTACACACACCCATATCATCCATCTCTTTGGAAGAAGAAGCAAAATCACCGGAGAAAACTGGCGTGCATAAATAAATTGCTGCACGACACAATTGAGTATCAAAAACCGAACCTCATTCATTCGCTAATCTCACCATTTTCCTCATCATCATTAATATCACTGTACACACGAGCCACTTCTTCACCATCTTCAACACTTTCGACCTCCATAGAATCTTCATCAACTCCCTCTTCATCACTTTCATCCTCGTCCTCATATATTACAGGTGCCACCACATCATTCTCCTCCCTTTCATCATCAATCGTCTACCGGAAAAAAATATAAAATTAAAAAATTAAAAAATTAAAATTCAGCCTCTTCCATTGATCAGAGAAAAAACAAAAAAAGGATTAAGATATAACTATTTTCAGAAATGTGCACTGACCTCAGTATACAGCAAGTCCAAGTAACTCGATAGTTGAAGAGTGTGGCTAAAATTGGAGACTCTAGACTCTATGAGCTGTAAACGATGTTAAAAGTTCATCAGTAAAATTTTCATTGTTACATTATGTTAAAATATACGTGTTTTATCCTCGGCTTCATCTTGCAGTGACCTCAAAATCGACAATTCGTCGCACTTTGGAAGTTCCATTCATCTTGTAGGCTGTTTAAATAAATTTATTTTAAACATTTGTTTTACCATGTTAATTTATTTGGCAACACACTATTTCGAATGCTGTTGGCATTGTATTTCATCATGTTAATGATCTGTATCCCGTGTTATGAGATATATTTCGTATTTACTGATCAAATTATGCTTTAAAGTAATTGAACCTGATATATAGAGTTTAGAGCCGCCAAAGAAGCTTCTTGAGACATTATGCTGCCTGCATGTTGAAGAAGTAAACTCCTTAGCCATGGAATAGCACAGGCCAATACAGCACCCCTGCAAATTATGCAAAAAATTAAGTTAAAATATTAATTCACACTGTCAATGAAAAATTCACGAGAAAGCATCAATTAAAAGTAAATTAAATTAATACTCAGTTATTCTTTCAAGTCCGGGACAGTGATTTTGGTTTCAGACACCTGCCACCCCTATCCTGCCAGGACATGTGCTCCCAAAAAAGAAAAAAATAATATGAAAACAAAATTTATGTGTATATAGTAGTTAATGTGAATGGAGTTGGACTCGATCCTAATTCTTTTGTTAACGAGTGTTTATTCAAGTTTCGATCATGCAATTCCTTAGAACTTCCTGAACAGAACATTAAAGTTTTTGCGACTAATATGCTCATAACATTAAAATTATGGGAAAAATTTAGATCTTGCATTAGCTAGATCTATTTTGCAGTAACAGGGGAAGAAACAAAGCGAGATACTCTCCGGACATTTTTCTGGCAGATTTACCAAGAATATGATTTTCAAAATTTCAAAAGAAAACTAAAATAATCCAACTAAGTGTTAATGTTACATCCGGAACAAATAATAGAAATTCTTTTAGCTTCCTTACCTCAAATGGACTATTGGTACAAGAGACTGCAATAACTGGCCAACATCTGCAGGGTTCAGCAGTGACAGCGAATTCGCAATTACCTGCAAAATATAATAATGACGCGTAAGATTATTCTACAGAAGACATGCTGCTCATGAGGCAAATTTATACCGTGTTAATACACGAGAGGAAACAAACTTTAGAAATCAATGCAACTAATAAGACCTTCTCATCTTGTCTGAATAAGCAATCTATGAGGAGTGCTCGGTCTTCGGCTCTGAGCGCCTGCTTGAGCAAGACATAAATCGAGTCTGCACTAGGTGGCTTTGCATCAGGAGAAACTCCTGCATTATTATTGTCCATAGCCTCTTTGTTTTCTTCCAGGTTGAGGCTCGCAAGTTTTTCACCCATGGTTGGTTCACTCAAGTCAACTATCACGTCTCCATCTTTATTTTCGAGAGCTTAAAGAGAATAGATAGCCATTACACTTTCTCAAACTTTAGAAATTGAAAAAAAGTTAAAAAAAAAAAAAAATGCAGTCTTTTTGCTCAGTACAGTGTCCCAAAACTGCACAAGGTCTATGGAGTACAGATAACTAAAACTTTCTCAGCCCATATAATTTCGTCATCAGAAATCGGCAGTATTGAACCTTAACCGACGGTTTCAATTTGAAATGTCGTACGAACTCTGTATACAATCAACATTGCATTGTTCATTCAGAAGCTATGAACTAAAAGTGTAACTAGAATAATACATGAACACAAGAAACCCATTTAAAATCCCACAAAATTCAAAAAGTAGAAACAAGCACAATTACAATACGCATAGAACACATAAAAATAAGAACCCAATTCGAAACCACAACAAAATTACATAGAAGCCTTTCGACCTCGTTTCTATAACTATCTCTCTTCCTTAGACAGGCTACTTATACTACCAGCTAGAAGCCACAATCCTAGCAGAGCTTAAACAACCTGAAATTTTTCAAAAATTTAAGAAGGAATCGAACAAAGATAATCTTTGAGCTTACTTTTTTCAGACAAAACTTCAGTAGCTTCTGACTCGTGTTCTCTGATTTTCCTTTTCGAGGACTTAACCTTCTTCCCCATGATATCTATTCACAGCCCAGCAATCAAACTACTGAAAAGAATTGTAGAAACCAAAATTTGTATCCAGCCAATGAAAAGGAGAAAGAAGAACCTTTTTCCGGTGCCGGATACGTCGATGGCGGGGTTCCAGGCGGCGGCGTTCTCGCAAACGGCGTCGTTAAGCCCTTACAAAACCCTACTTCTTGTAATAACCAGGCCTTGAGAATTTTTTTTTTCATTAATTGGAATTTTTTCATTTTTCATTGGTATTTGAAATTGTCAAAAATTACTGGCAAGTCCCTCCTTTTTCTTTTATTCGTTCAATCAACGCCCATAATCAAACGAACTAGTTTTTAACCTGTGCATTTGCACGGAAAACATTATAATAGAACAAAATATAACAAAAAGATATAAACAATAGTAAAATTCATAATATCATCATTGGAAAAATGTTCTAAAAAAGAATAACTAAATATTGTTAAACAATTCTTTATACAACGTTTGTGGTTTTTCTATCAACATAATCTCCATCACTACAAATCACTATCTTCAAATTAAGACATATAATGGTTTTTTTTTTTTTAAATAATTATTGTATTTTGTACTATAGATCATATATGAAATTTAAAAAAAAAAATACTATGAAAATACCAGCAAAATATTAAGCGGGAGACACCTTATCATATATTTGGGGGGGATTCAACAGTCTTTAATTGGGAGATGGTTCCCCCCTTTCTGTACTTTTCCAAAATAAATAATTGTATTTGGTTGATAAATAAAGATATGTGTCAAATATTTAAGACATTTAAACAAAATGGCAATTGTTGGGCCATAAAGAAATATATTGATTGAATGATGTAAAACATGTCAATGATAACATGACTATAAATAGAGATAAACTTCTTGAGTGATCTAAGCCAATTTTTTTGTTTGATGTCGGTGCTTCTTTCGTTATTCACTTTGTCTGAAACTCTAATCCTTAACCCGATCATACGACAAACTCGGCGAGATTCAATACAAAATAAATGTTTTACCGGAGATTTTCTCCCAGTAAAGACTTCAAAAATAAAAATAAAAAAAATTCGAGAAATGTTGTTTTTGTAGCCAACAGTAGTGATCGAAAAATAAATATTCGTCCCGATTTCTTAATATGTGTTGCTAAATATTAACAGGTCGGTCAAAATCGGGCGATAATATTACAAATCTATGAAGAGCTGAAATATTTTTTGTTAAACATAATTTTTATTTTTTATTATTTTCAGTGATCTGTGTTGTTTTTTGAAATTCTTTTTGAATAAGCTTCAAAGATATATCATATTTTATACATAATTCGAAATTATCTAGATGTTTTTCGAAATCGTTTTTTTGAAGAGAACATGACATTGGTCGAACATTTTCAAACTTTTATGTATTTTGTTCAGGGTTTGAAAAATAGGTAAGTTTCTAACAGATCTGTTTAGCTCTACTAACAAATGTATAGGTAAGTTTATAATATATCTGTTCATATATGTTTATAACATACATATGTAACTTTTATGCATTTTGTTCAGATTTTGAACACTAAATAGTTCAATTCTTTCTCATCTTTCTCATCATATCAGTAAGTGAAGCTTTGCTACACTTGTTCAAAATCGCTTTTCGAAGTTGTTCAAAGTCTTTTGCCGAAGTTTTTCAAAGTTTTTAGTATTTTGTTCAAAAATTGAAAATATTAGGTAAGTTTATAACTAATCTGTTTACATATATTTATCGCATATTAGAAATTTCTTGTTTAATGTTTAAAAGAATGTGTAGGAATTTTTATTTTTAAAACTTTCACGCAAAAAATCGATTTTAATATAAAAGCAGATGTCTTGGTAAAAGTTGAATGTGTTGATAATGATAGGGAAATCAAATTATTTTTCTTTCTATATTGTATAGTGTCCAAAAATGTTCCACATAATTTTTTGTGTTTTTAATTTTGTTTTTTTTTTTTCATATAGATTTGACTTTTTTGTTGATTATTTATGTTTGATATATATTTCTATATTATACAACAATCTGCCGTTACATACAATGCCTTATCAATCCTCAGCCTTATCAATCCTCATTCTTTGACTTTGCCAATTTTCGTTTAATATGACCTTTCTGTTGCTGAAAGTATGGTTTTAATGCCTTAAATATTGATGTTTTGGATATGTTTTGATGCTATAATCATGCAGAAATTTGTCCCGCCACTTTTTTCTTAAAGCGGAATTGTTTAGTGAAAATTAATCATATTTATATTTATAATTGTGAAATATTTTTTTTTTCACGGCCAACAGTTTTTTTTTAATGAAAAATATGAGACAATTTATTCAGCACACTTTTTAATTTATAAAACAGAATGTTGATTGCGATAATCAAATCTGCAGAAATCATGCATTTTATTGAATAGTAGTAATATAAAATATTTTATTATTACTACCAAGTAAAAAGTCAAAAATAGTTAATTTTGCAATATTAATTATGATCATATGAATTTTTTTTTATACATATATTTTTTCAATGAACTTTTTAAATGATAATATTGACAATATAGACTTTGCTATAATAATTATATAGACTGTTAATTTGTTTATTTACTTCATTAATTTTTTTTATTAATTCATCTTATTATGCGTATAGTCTAACTTTATAAATTATATGTCATTTAAATGTATCTATACTACTAATTTATAAAGTTTTACCATTTGGGGAGCTAATTTTTTATTTTAATTATGAAACTAATCTTTCTTATCATTATGCAGCTATATGTTTTATGGAGTATGGCTGGAAATTAAATTACCAAAAAAAATAATTTCATTTTTATATTGTAATGTAACATTATCTGTATTATAATGTTTGTATTTATTACATTTATTAATATTTTTATAGCTTTAATTGTTTATTCAATTCATAATGGAATAAAAAATAACAATATATAGTTTCTACACAACATTAATGATTGCCACGTTTATATATATATGAGAATAAGAAACATAAATGTGGGATTAACTAAAAAAACCTTTTTAATTTAGCCATTAACTAATTAGGTTTAACTAAAAAAACCTTCTTAAATGTGGGATTAATGAGTAAATAATAAAAAAAATGTAACTCCTTTTGGAGGGAAAGTGAAAATGTTTTTATTAAATGTTTTATTAAATAGGATTAGCTAGTAATTATATATATATAGATTTATAATACAAATAAATAAGATAGTTATATTTATTTCTTTACTTTGTTACTAGTACAACTCCCGTGTATTACACGGGAGCTTGCTATTTTTTTTTCTTAAAATCTAAAATTAGTGAGAAAAAATAGTTAAAAATTTAAATACCTTTTATAAAAAATATATTATTATATATTTAGTATGACACTTTTTATTTGTGCGACTTACTTGTGTTATATTATAATAATTTTTTTAACTTACAACATATAACTACATTAAACATAAATATATCAATTGAGAAATAATTTTATTTTTCTAATGAATTTTAATAAATATAATTACTTTTTATTATTATAAATATAAATATAATTTATTTATTTCTATATATACAATATGGATGTCAAATCGAAGTTCATCAAAAGATGATTAATTTGATATATTATATATGTAAAACCGATAAGAAATACAAAAGTTATCAGCTTTTAAAATACATTTACAATTCAATAGCTAATTGAAGGAAACAAATCAAAAGTCAGGGATATATTAGTCGTTTAATGTCTCACTATGTAAAATTACAAGGAATTAAAGGGTTATATTAGTACAAGTGATATTAAAATACCTAAGTTAGCTAAATAATATTTATGAGAAAGTCCAAACCTAGATTATTAATTATTAATATATCAATATTATTTGTCCAAACCTAATTACGAAGCTTGGTTCTTCGCCAAGTAGGATTCCGAAGCACCAGAAGCAGCCATGTAGGCTCAGCGCATTCGGGAATTATATATAGGGAGGATTGTGTATTTATTATTTTAAGAATATGAAATAATTATTTTACTTGATTTTATATCACCAAGATGAAAAATACACTATTTCAGTATTTTTAGGGGTTAACAACATGGTTATGAGTGGGCTGTAAACGAGTAGAGCCGAGCTCGAGCCATTAACGAGTCTAAAATTGAATTCGAGTTCGACTCATTTATCACTAATAAAAAAGCTCAGGTTTGGCTCGCTTATCACTAATAACAAGCCGAGTTTGAGCCTAATGAGCCGATCGCGAGTTTTTAACGAGTCGAACTATGAAAAATAGTATAAAAATTAACATTCTGAGCCTTATCGAGCTGAGTCGAGCTCGACTCGTTAACCAAACGAGCTTTAAATGAGTTCGAGCTAGGCTAGTTTATCAAACGAATCGAGTCGAGCCAGACTCGTTTAATTTAACATCACTAGATCTGACTCAGCAATTTTCGGCCAGGTCAACCTAACCCGACAACCGGACTCAAGCCACTGCAAACAAGTCGAG